AGCTTTAAAGCGTAATAAATTACTCACTTTACGCAGAGAGCTCAAATCGGTCACTACAAATGACCCTTAGTTCTTGTTATTCCGGCCCGATGTGTTTGTTTGTACAAAATCGTGAAAACCGTTTCAGGGTTCCAGGTCATCAAAATATTCGGAGCCGTAACTATGACATCCCTCCTAATGGCATCATGTTCGTTGGACATTAACCCCCAACAATTACCATTTAAGTGATGTGATTTCTGTGCGAAGAGGTGAAACCTGCTATACGCACCTAAATTTCAGCAGAAATCACATTTGTGCCGAGCGTGTGCCAAGACATAATTTTTGAGGCCTTTGGAGAGCAAAAAAAGATTGCAGGTGCTCGAATTACTTTCATAAATTGCCATAACTTTTACTGCTCATTGGAGCTGACGGGCGAGAAATGTGTAGTGATAAGAAATCTCCCAGGGCCACCAACTTCGTACTGAACAGAGAATATTATTCTGCTGAGCTAAGGTTTAAGCAGTAGTTCCGCTAAACAAATTTTCGTTTACTGAGAGTCTAGTGTAATAATGGTCACCCCTCTCCGCCGTTCACGCTATGACTTTGCCTGCCGCACTGTCTCGCCCAGTTGCGAAGCCATACATGCTGTGTCTCATAAATGGTGACTTGTGCACTCAAGCAGGTGCATCGCCATAAATGTTTGCCTAGTGGAAGTAGATGGTCGCATGTGAAGTGATGTAAGCTGACAGCTTGTGCGAGAGCTTGATGTACCGACGCAGACAGCCACGTCAGAGAGACGGTCGATCAAAGCTAAACTTGCCATGTAGGACGGCGAGGCACCGACAGACAGCAAGAGGGGGTGGGGACCCCATTACAAACAGTGCCAATTAAAGAGATTTTCGAAAATTATCGTCCTATTTCGCTTACATGTATTTGTTGTAAAATGCTAGAACACATCATTGCTTCGCATATTTACAAACATCTGGCATCCAATAATTTTTTTTTCAAAGGTCAACACAGTTTCCAAAAGGGCTTTTCGTGTGAGACTCAGCTGTTTGAAATAACCACAAATCTTCATGCAAATACGGACAATAATTATCAAACTGACTGCGTGTTGAGTATTCGAAGGCTTTTGACCGGGTTGCACGCTGTTGCCTGATATCAAAACTTTCCGCCTTGAAATTAGACCCCCGTACACCATCATGGCTTCGCAACTTTCTATCTAATCATCAGCAGTACACAACAGTCAACAATTTTTCTTCTTCCCTAACTGATGTTTTTTCAGGTGTCTTACAAGGTAGCGTACTCGCATCATTACTTTTCCTCATATTCGTAAATGATCTTCCGTAACATGACTCTTTTTGCATCAGGGTATTCGCCGACGACTGCATAATTTACCTTCAATCAAGAAATTTAAAGATCACCTGTCGCTTCAAAAAGACCTTGACGTAAGTAACGGTTGGCGTAGTACATGGCTCATGACTCTAAATGTCTCAAAATGCAAAGTAATGTCATTCACACATAAATCTAGAAGATCTCAATTTTCATTCAGCATTAATGTTCATTCTCTCGACCGCAATGCAATATCGGTACTTGGGTATTATACTTACACCTGCTCAATCGTGGTCTGAGCACATTAAAGCAATCTCTGCCAAAGCTTCCAGATCGCTAGGTTTCTTAAGATGTAACTTGAAAGCTGCACCGTAAAACTTTTGCAAATTAGCCTACTTGGCTCTGGTTCATCCTCAACTAGAATATGCCTGTTCGATTTGGTCTCCCCTTCAAAAATACGTAATTGATACATTGGAAAAAGTTCAGAATAGGGCAAGCCGTTTCATCGCCAATAACTACGGTCCCCATTCTAGTATATCGCATATAAAATAGGAACTTTTACTTCCACTCTTGAACATCCCGCGCGACATTGCCTTGATTTCATTATTTGATAAAATCATCCACTCCTCCCGAATCAGCGTTACTGGTCTGCACAAACCATATCTCACCTCACATAAATTACGCAACTATCTCAGCTATTCCCGTATGTACGGCTCCACAAACGCCTTCAGCAAGTCGGCACTCCCATAAGCCATTATTTTCTGGAATAGTTCGCCTGATCACATTGCTGCCGAGACAAACCATGAAACACTCCATCATATGTTATCAAGCCACTTCACAACGTTCGCCGAGATGCCTCTTCGTAGTGTAAGGATGAATTTTGGGAACGTTTTTGCCCTACATCATTATCAAAGCAAATTTCTAGTATGATAAGCTGGTTCTGACTGGCAGTTATCCCGCCTATCGCCTACTTTCTTTTTCTTAGCACAGGAAATTCACCCCGCTGTATTGGCGTTATGAAATGTATCGTTTCTCTTTTTATCGTTATCTCACATGCTACTCTAGTTTTTTTTTAAACATAAACTCGTTTCAAGATTGTCACAGCAGTGACTTATAACCGCTCCGTTCTTATGCTCAATAAATGCACCCTTTCGCTTATTGTTCGCATGCTTACGTCGTCTTTACATGTATATGTTTAACTGCTGTTTTTTCTGTTTTATATTGCAATTGTATTTTTTCTTATGTATTGTAGCCAACTTGATATCGCCCCGCTTACTCAATGCCCCCCCCCCCCCCCTTGTGGCCTGTAAGATACCTTGAAATAATAAAAAATATAAATAAAAATTGCCCGTACTATAAAGTTACATTGTCAAGTCAGTTTAGAATAGTTATTCAATGCTTTGGAGTTGGAAAAACTTCAATAATCTTTTTGTGAGACATTAGTCTTTTATATGAGATTGATTGCAGTAATTATAGTAAGCATTATAACATCCTATTTATGTTATTTGAACCTCTAGTTTGGTTATTTTCACCAAAGCATGTAGTGTAATTTGCGTTCACTTCCGGACGGTTTCATAAAGGGCACTTATGATTTATTACAATATCTTGGCGGAGATTTATTGACAGTTCCACCCACTGCCGTGGCCTGTTGGGAAAGCATGGTGACACACTATCCCAGTATATCGGGTCTGCTGCTTGATTTCAGTCAAAGTTCAAGTCAGGGAGCATGACATTATTATTTGTGTGCCCATATGCAGCATCACTGTCATAAGCCGGTTGGTGTTAGTTAAAAGGGCCACTCCTCTGTCCTGTGGAGTAGCCTTGCTCTGCCATGACTTCATTTTCGCCATTGTAATTTCTACTTAAGCATTCTGCGATTAGGTAAAAGCATTAGCATTCTTAACCAACTATCCTATAATCACCAGATAGCAGTGACTTGCGCATGAATTCAATTTTGTGCGAGATCGCACACTTCTAAAGCACCAACAAAAAAGGGTAGCAGCACTGATGAAAATAGGTAGGACAGTATCCAATGAAAAGATTAGGAACTGATCTGCACATCATTGCTAGAGCTTCTTAAAGGTCCATCTAGTTTGTGTTAATTGCATGGCTCCTGCCTAATTAATGTCAGTGCCATATAAATCTGAATTTAGAGCTTGCAATACTGTTTTACAAAAAGAAGAAGTTACAAGGCTAGGCACACATGTGTGCGGTACGTATCTGCACTTTAGTAAATTGAATGATGGTCATTTAATGCAAACTGCATCACCCTTGGCGGCTGACCGTCAAGGATTTATATTTAAAAATTTTGGCTGCTGGAACACGGAACTTAATATGTTAAGAATGATTTTTTGAAAGAAACATTTTTGCTGGTCCAAGCAACACCAAAAATTTTCGAAAAGCATGAAAGTACACTTTAGAAAGGATCATCAGAAACTTTCTTACTGCAATTAAAGAAAATTGACTTTTACTTAGGAGAATGAAGACAGTTCTTGCACCTAAAACTGTAGTGAATGGTTTACTGTACTTTCAGCTTTTTAGATAAAGTGGTCAAAATCAACGCTTTGCATGGAATGTACAGTGGCAGTCAAAATATTGCGGATCATGGGAATGCGTGTCAAACAGCACCACGGCACAGTCTGACGGCTGCCTGCAAAGCTCGCGACGGCGCACTGGGCACGCGTGCCCTTTCCTACATGCCAGCTTGCTCTATTTATCTCTTTAAACAGACAGAGGAGGGCACCTGAACGCCTGAAGAGAAGCGCAAGGCGTCACTCCTGCTGTCACCAAACGATGATATCGAGACGAAAACACGAAATTTGTACTGGCAGTGCTTGGTGCGCGCTGCATTATGCGCCTTAGTCCCAGACGCTCTGCGACACGGAAAACATGCATACAGCATCAGGTTTTTTCGAAAAAACTTTTAATATTAGGGTACTGAACAGATTACTTTCGTGGAAGACATGCACACTGGAATTTCGTGCGGTGTTTTGTGGAAGTGTCTTGGGGAGCGCCTGGGAGTAAAGCGCAGAGTGCAGCACGTACCAAGCACTGCCTGTACAAATGTCCTTTTTTCTCAGGATATCATCGCTCGGTGTTTTTGCGGCCACAGAAGTGACACCTTGCACTTTTTCGGGCGTTCCGGTGCGTGCGCTGTTGAATAGAGAAAACGATCAGGCTAGCAGGCAGCCATCAGACTACGCCACGGTGCTGTTTGACACGTGCTCCTGTGGTCCGCAAAATTTTGAATGCCAGTGTAGTTTGAGTTCAGTTTCATATGGATATACATTTTTTGGCTTATTGTTAACTATATTTTAGAGGATTACTTGTGATGTGATGCATCGTTATGCTTCTTGCTCTAGATTTTAATTGCTATAATTTTATTAGGAAGGTTTCATTCTTAAGAGAATTCACAAAATTTTTGTACACAGCTGTTAATTCCTGAGGGATTAGGTGAAAAATTAGGGCCCTCGCTTACTCTCAATCAAGATTGTATTGACTCATAACATCAGTTTTCTCAATATAATCACATTTCCTTCGCATTGTTGCATCACAACCCTTGCACAGGTAATAATCATATCTAGCAAAGCCATTTTTACGAATGTTGCTTAATGGCTGAGTGTAGCACTCTTCTTGTTTTTGTGTGTTCATTTTCTGAGTGTCTGTCACCATGTTCTGGCTATACATAGATGGACAAGTCCGAAGAGAGAAGCAACTCAGCATCAACTTCTGCTGTCAAGTCATGCAAAAGAAAAACATCAACCAAAAAAAGGATTCTGGCCCGCCATCCAGTCATTCCTTCATTAAATGGGAACGATGTGGCTATGAAGATGGAAGAACCTCCTTCAAAAGTAAGCAAGCCCAATGCGCTTCCAGCAGCGAAGAAATCTGGAGCTCCTTTAGATGCGAAGAAGCATGTAGTTCTTCCACCAGTAAGACAACACGCACGTTCCTCGGCGAGAAGTAAGAGCACTGTTGCTGTACCAGCGAAAAAAGTTGTCACTCCGGCACTGCAAAAGCCTCCAGCAGAGCGGCTCCAAAGTCTGGCAGAACTTGTGGTCAACTTCCACAACAAGACACCAACAAGGTTCCGACGAGTTCCAAAGGACCCAGGTTAGTAGTTGAGTTGTAATTTTGCCCTCCATCTTTAGATGAGAGGTCCCGTTCTTTTTCGTTTCTTGTTTTACATATAAGTAGTACAGCAAAAGGACTGACTGTGAGAAATAGTCCAGTTTTCTGTCTTACTCCTAAAACTTTTCTTGCTTTGCAATTCCACCACGTATTTTACACGTGTAGGAATAGTGCTCATGAAGGAACAACTTATATTGTTTTGTTGTTGAGGGCATGCACTGAGTACAAGAACTTTAGAGCAGCTAATTTGGTGCGTAAGAGCAAGGTTTTGATGCTCGGAAAGCTGTGCTGAAAAAGGCATTATTCAGCGACATCACTGGGTCTGGGAATGGTGATTTGCTGCTGTCACGAGCAAATTTGCAAAGCAGAATTATTACATTCAAGCATTCAGGGCTTTAGTCAGTAACTTCACTAAAAGAGACCTTTCTGGCTCTTTTTTTTTTCTTGGCAGAGGAAGGGAAGAGTATAACACAGCACGGATACAAATGAAGGAAGGGGCAGCACGATTGTCCCTGTCTTTGTACTTTGCTACCATGAACCACATCCAGCTAGCTCAACGTGCAATCCTGATTAGTTTCCTCATTTTGTTTTTCTATATCCTTTTTGAGAAAACTGGGGTCACATCAATGAATCTCGCAGCATGCCATGAAAACTTTGCTAGTACGGATAGCAACATCAAAGTCACACCAATATTTTGAACAGTTTTGAACAGGTGTGATGTTGATCTGTGGGCCTGTGATCGTTGGCTAAATATGTAACGAGTTATTTAAAGTTGTGTGCTATTGCAAGTGCTTTGAGAAAGGCGTGACTGTGTGGTTTAAGTATAGCCTGATGTCACGCGTATATGCTGATGCCTGGTTCGCTCGTCGGGCGTTGCGAAATAAACCATAGAGGCTGATGGTACCAAACGAAACTCCCACTTCATTACCATAAAAATCACAAAACAAAACAACCAAAACATGCACACATTGAAAAACAAAGAAAAGGAAATGTCTTAATGACGTGCATTTCAACGTCTGATACCGTTTGCGTTTTCTAGTTCTTGCGCTTACAGTTGTGTTGTAGCCTCTGGTCCGCTGGGTGTCCCTCTCAAGCGTAATGACATGCCATATCTATGCTCAACAGTGGTGACGATGTTGAAGAACCACTACAGCGGTAGCTCCAGTGGTTTCTCGCCGAGGTCGGTGCTGGGGCGGGAAACTGCAGCCCAGGATTAGCGATTGCTCTGTGCGCTGCTCACCGAGTCAGGTGCTCGGGCGAGAACCATTGCCTTCCAGGGACAGCGGTACTTCCTTGCGCTGCGTGCCGAGTCAGGTGCTCGGGCGAGACCCAGTCCGAACTTTCGCAGCCCTTGGCCCCTCGAACGCCACGTCTCGGTTCTCACGTTCCTCACTCGCCCCGTGCCCTCTTGTTCCAATCTCCGTCCCCGCGTGCTCTTTTCTCGTCTTCTTCTCCCTCATTCCAGCGTTTAAATTACCTATTCAAGACAACTTCTTTCTCTTCTTCTTTTCTTCATCTTGTCATTCTTGACAATGGCCCCCAATTTTTTTAGTTTTCGCTCCACGAAAACTGTCGTCTCCACTAGCACCATACACTTCACTGTACCGCACAATCCTTCCCTGCACAACACAGCACTTCACTTCATGGCACATCTCGGCACTTCCCTTCACCGCACAACACTTCACCTCACGGCACATCACGTCACTGCACGGCACACTTAAATTCACTGTTGAACCACTAAACTTGCCTATACTAACGTGCACATCCATCTTTGTGAGTCACAGTCACACTTCGCTGTCATCCCACATCAGCAATGAAACAACGATACTAGGTATGTGTCCGCACGGAGTTTCCTACTTCATCATTCTACTCATAAAATCTGCGCCAACATTGTCTCTCCCTTTTATGTACTGGACCGAGAAACTGTACTCCTGTAAGATAAGGCTCCACCGCATGACTTTAGCGTTATTATGCTTCACCCGGTTGAGGCGCTCCAGTGGCTGGTGATCCGTTTGCACCACAAACTGGGTTCCATACAAATAAATGTGAAATCGTTTAACAGCCCATATTAAAGCATAACATTCCTTCTCCACCGCAGCGTAGTTTTTTTTTCAGTCATTCAGATTCCGACTTGCGTACAAGACTGGATGCAAGATCCCATCAGATTCCTGCAACAGTACCTCTCTTACACCCCTTTCTGATACATCCATTCGCAAAACAAACGTCCTACTGAGATCTGGTGCCATAAGGACCGGGGGTTTAGCCATACACCTCTTCAGTTGCTCAAATGCCTGCTCATGACATTCCGACCGAGGCAATATGTTAGGCGCGTTCTTTTTGGTGAGATCGGTAAGGGGACTCACTATATCCGCGTAATGAGGGGATAAATTCTCTATAGTAGCCTGTAAGGCCCAAGAAGGACCTCAACTGCTTCTTGTTCAATGGCCTCGGCGCAGACTGTATCTTCACAATTGTGTCAGGGTGAGCTGCGATGTGTCCCATTCCCAGAATGTGTCCAAGGAAGGTAATCGTTTGAAACCCAATTTGGCATTTTATCGCTTTCACTGTGATCGTCGCCTCTTGGAGCCTACGAAACACTTCCTGTAATGTCTTCACATGTTCCTGCCAAGAATTTGTCGCCACTAGGATATCATCGATATAATGCTCCACGTTTTTAGAGTCCATGCAGCACTATTTGCATGAGTTCAGTGAAAGTCTGCGCCACAGTTTTCAGTCCGAAGGGCATGAATCTGAACTGAAATAACCCTCGTGCACATGAGAAGGCCATTTTCTCCTTTGATGCTTCATCCAAGGGTATCTGCCAGTACCCTTTAGTGAGATCCAGCTTTGAAAAATACTTTCTTCTCGCGACCTTCGCAAACACTGCGTCAACTCGTGGTATGGGCTCTGAGTGATCAACCAGTACCTTATTTAGATGCCGAAAATCCACACAGACTGTTAGACCCGTCAGACTTCTTTGCCACCACAAGAGGTGAGTTGTACACAGATGTGGAACGCTCAATAATCCCCAGGTCCAACATCTGTTTGATTTCCATATCTATGTCTTTCTGTACAGCTAGTGGCAGAGGATACTGTTTCACATGAACTGGCCTCTCCGTGGTTAATCGCATACTGCACTTGAGCAACATCGTCTAGCCTGGGAGGTCCGAGAAGGTTTCGTCGAACTCTTGTAACACATTTTCCGCTTGTTTTCTCTGCACCTCATTGAGATCAGGGTTTATAACCACCTTCTCTCGATCCATTGTTTTGGTTATGCTGTATGTGGGTATTTCTTCTTTGTATGGATCTCCCAACTCTGTCTCCGTAACAATCATGCCTGCGACTTCCTCTGCTTTGTTGGGTTGCCTGTCCTCGTATCTTTTCAGCATGTTGACATGCAGTACCTTTCGCCTTTCTCCAATTTTAAGCTCATAGTCGACATCAGTCACTTTCTTCTTCACCTCAAAAGGTCCCTTTCAACTCATTGTGAGCTTGTTGTTGTCACTTGGTAGGAGTACCAATGTCTTGTCCCCAATCTGCAAGACCCTTTTTCGACTTCTTCTATCATAATACTTCTTGTATGATGCCTGGGCCTCGGCGAGGCTCTCCCGTGCGATGTGACAAGTTTCCTCAAGCTTGTCCCGAAGTTCTAATAAATACACATACGAGGACTTTTGCTCTTCTTTCAATTCAGTGTTCAACCAGACTTCCCTCAGAACCATTAGTGGTCCTCTTATCGCTCTTTCATAAATCAATCCGAACGGCGAAAAGCCGGTGCTAGCCTGCGGCACTTCCCTATATTCAAACAAGAGTGCCAATAGGTATCGATCCCATTCCTTGAGTTTCTCCTGGCACACCTTGCGCAACATATTCTTGAGCGTGCCAATCCTGGTTTCATAGGTCCTACAATGTCCACTGCGACTCTTTGAAAAGGTTGCTCAATAATAGGCAAAGTCCTCAAGGGTACCTTCGAGACCAAACCTTTTGGTGTGGTTCTCTGACATGTGTCTCAAGATCGCACAAACCTTTTAATGTTGCTTTGCATGCACGGCCAAAAAAACTCTTCAGGGACTCTGCTAGTTGTCTTTCTTGCTCCCTGATAGCCAGCCATAATAGTGTCATGCGCCAAGTCTAAAAGAGCCCTTCGTAAACTCACCGCCACTGCTGTCTCTTTTTCCCTCCCTCATGGGTCTTGACTATTCTGTACAGCAGCCCTGAAAGCTTCTCAAACCTATGCACGACCCGACTCCTCTTACAATAGATCCATTTGCCTTGAATCTCAAAACACCGTCGCAGCGTACTGTCCGCTTCCTGCATTCTCCCCATTTCTGCTGCAGTTATGTCCATGGCTGCCACTGAGTTGTTCTCCTTGATGCCCTCCTTTTCCTTTTCACTCTTGTTCCTCGTAGCTCTCTCCACGGCATAGGCTGAATCTTTCCTGGTATGCTAATCGACACATCTCTCGTCACGTTTATCCATAACCTTATAAGGTTGTAACTGTGTACCCTCAGCGCGCGTTGCAGTAGGCAATCTCCAGAGGGGATCCGGATCGTCAACTCCTCTGACCCCTGGCATATTACTGAGAATTACGTCATAAAGAGGGTCTTTGGCACATCGGGCTTCAATTCAACCGCAGTAATACGGTGACAAAATCGGTACCCTAGCAACTGGCATCTGCCATACTGTTCCATCAGCCAACCCAACCGGCTATTCTGTACCCGTGATATCCGTTTCTGGCACCATGGATTCTCTTACAAGTACAATGTTGGAGCCCGTGTCTCGAAGTACTGACACTTTACGTCCGTGCAACATCCCCACGACCACTGGCATAGCACCTTCGGCTTCTCCCGCCTTGACAGATGTCGTAACAGCACTTGTCTAATCCTTGTCCTGCTGGTCACGTTACTTTTCCCTGTCTGCATGAGCAGAGCTTTCATCTGCAATCATGCAAGCCGTTTTATTTCCTGACCGATCACCACAGG